ATAATTAAACGAAACCAATACAGCGAAGTTCATTATTTCCCACGTGCTCGTTTAAAATTCATTTACTTCTCACTTCCAGGGAATAAAATAAAAGATCTGGCACAGGAAACTTTTGTGTACCACTGTACGTCGATTCTTTCTCGTTTTTCTTCATCAATTTTAATAGTCGAGCGCTGAAGAAAGAAACGCGAGAACGGTGGAATGAAATTTCCGTTCGTTTAATTGTTTCAGACGCTGGACTTCGACAGGGATGGCCTGACGAAGCTGAAGAAAGCGATCAAAGCTATTCACAACTCTGGAAACGGTGAGTAGCGCGCGAGCGCGTAAACGGCTTAAAAATGATCAGACATCGGATGAAAGTTTCCGATTTCCCTTCTTGCACTCTCCGGCTAGCCTTTGTAACACGAGGTGTTCTTTAACCGTCTAATGAGCAGCACTCGGCGCGGCGTTTCATTTAACACTAGAAATACCAGAGAGGTCGAAATGATCCAATCCCAATTGCTTCTTTAACCCTTTGCACTCGAGAGGCGACTCTCGTTCGCCATTTGATTCGATACACCGAAATTATGAACACTAAAATTCAATATTCGATTTTCTATTAGGTATCAACACATGAACCTTAGAAATAAATTAGTTTCGACCCTTAATTTAGGTAAGATTTTTCTTTATATTACTTGCTAACAATATTATCAATATTTCAACAGAATATAATAAATATTTCTAACGAGAAATATTGTCGAATGCAAAGGGTTAATCATTATTAGGAACATAACAGATAATTCTCTGAGAAATCACTACAGAAATTGATACAGCACTAGGCAAACTGAATTATAAATCATTAGAAATCTCAATGGTAACACTGCTGGAGTTTCCGTAGAAAAATTTCAAGAAGTCAGTTTGACTGATCGGTAGTTCTAGTGTTAACTCTTTGCACTCAAGAGGCGACTCTCAGTCGCAATTTGATTGCACGCAATGAAATTATCAAATGAAAAGTTCAATAAAGTATTAACAGGTGGAACATAGAAATAAAACAACTCTGCTCCATAATTTACGCAAGATGTTTCTTTATGTAAGTTGGAAATAATGTTGTGAATATTTTGTCAGAAAATAATGAATGTCTGTAATAAAAAATATTGTCGAGTGCAGAGGGTTAAACTGAATTTTCCGCAGTTCGCCTCTTCCGAACTGAAACTCACTCTATCGGTTACGCAGTTTGGGGGGCAAGAGGAAACGCCCAGTCGCGCGCTTGGCCCGATTGTTATGGCGACTTAGTTTCGGCACGTCTTTGTTACCGGCCGAGCTGCGGCACGAAGAAAGTAGACGGCCAATAACGAGTATAGTCCCGGCGAAGAAAATAAATTTAACCCTTTACATTTGAGAGGTGACTTTAAGTCACCACTTGATTTGACGCAGTAAAACTATAAAATCTGATATTTAATGTTGAACTTTGTATAATGCCTCAGTACGTGAAATATTGGAATAAAACAGCTTTGTTCCTCAATATACTTGTGATTTCCCTTCGAGTTAATTTCAAAGAATATCGTCTTCGCCTCGACAAAAAATGTTAAATATTTCTAGTGAGAAACTTTCGAGTGCAAAGGGTTAAATATTCGTTTTCTTGGTGACGTAACGAATGAACTGAATTTTGTTGGCTATAGGGTAGACCGAATCGGGCCAGTTCAAATTTAACAGCGTAAAACTAATAGTGAAAATGTAGAATTAACATTTTTTCATAAATTTCTTATTAGTCTTATTAGTCTTTCTATACGAAATATTTAAATAAAATAGCTTTGTCGCTTAATTTATCTATGAATTATCGTTAAACTAGTTTCAAGCAATGTAGTCTATATCTCGTCGAAAAATGCTAAATATTTCCACTGAAAAACTTTTGAGTGCAACGAGTTAATAAACATTTCAACTTCAATATCAGTGAAACAAATTATTAGAAAACTTGAAAACCTTTGTTTTGTAAGCAAAATGCTGAGAAGTGAGAAACATCCGATTCGTCCCATGCAACGAATGCAACGAAGTGAGATGTAACGATAGAAAATAAAATTCATAGTGTCAACTTCATTCTCTATCGTTACATCTCCGTCGCATTCGATTTCTCTTCCATCGTTTGTTATTGTCGTACACCAATAACGAGCATGCGTGGAAGACCCAGGCGGCATCGTCAATGGAAGTATCCCCTCGCCACCTTGACTTTTTAACTTTCCGACAAGCGAAGTCTTTCTCCGTCGAACTATACATGCCGAAATTGAGTCGCCATAACAATCGAGCCGATCGTGACGAATGGACGTTTACCATTGCTACCAAACTGCGTAGTCGATCAAGCAGGTTCCAGTTCGGAAGAGACGAACTGTACCGGTTTTCGCGTGCTCCTCCACTTATCCCGGCTGCTTTTTCCTCTTATTCTTCGTTTCATTAACCCCTTCATCTATAATATCGTGTCGGACTCGTGGCGAAAATTTCAAACTGAATTGGAGAAATCTAAGTGTTATTTATATTTTTTAAATGTAAATGTAATGTCACTTTTCTGTTATTAATCATTAACCTTTGAAGTAAACGTGGACATAGAGTAAACATGAAAATTATCTTTATTCCTAATAGATTATTAACGATAGAATAGTTGCATCGATTATAGCTAAGAAATAAATCGTAGCCGTACTTTAACGAGTTTGAGTCGTGATACAAATTTTGGGCCAAACAGAAATATCACGAGTGTGACTCGAGGTGACAACACAAGTGAGATATCGATCGCCATAATTATGGCCCGGATTTTGCCCGGTTAAATGGTATAACAAGCGGTCAAACTTTTAGCTACTATACGCCACTATTGCGGTTTCCAACCTTTATGCTACTACACCTCCTTAAACATTTTCTTTCCACGCCTCCCTATTTTTAACACGTTCACTACTAGATGTCACATATTTATGACGGCCGTAATCCTATGTTTCACATAATGAAAATGAAATGAATCCTATAGATATTGTTATTAGAAATTATGAACTACTAAAAAATGAATGTTCATACCATAATATCTACAAATAAATAAACTTCATATTGTAACGTAACGGTACGAATTCAGTGAAGTAATTTTTATTTTGTAATAAAATTATTATTATTTAAAACGTGTCTACATTATAAATCTTCTAAACAAAATATTAGAAAAATGAAACTGACACGAGTCATTAAGTTCCTAAATATAATGTCGTAGTTTATAATTACTAATAACAATATCTATATGATTAATTTCATTTTCATTGTGTAAACTATAGGATTACGGCCGCCATAAATAAGTGACGCTGGTAGCGGTGTTAAATTGATAATCAGCGGTAAACGTTACTTTGATAGAAATAATTTGATAAATCATTTACTTATGAACGTTAACTTATTTTAATGTTATACATTAACCGCGTACCATCGGTGGTATTACATGCCAACGTGAACGTGTTAAATGTAAAATTCATGAAATAATGTCAAACGCGGAGGCGCAAGTTTGGAAACAACTGATCTAATGAATGTCCGAAGAAATGAAACAACATCTATTATTATAATTTTTATAAATACTTGGTACTCCTATCTTTAATCCTTTGAGTGCTAAATACACCCAGCTGAAACGATCCGTGTGGACGGAATATTTATTTGCTCGTCCGAAGATCGAATTACGTTAATTCATACAATTAATTTAGTCGTAATTAAATTGTAGTCGTAATTCCCCAATTTCACCAAATTGAATAATGCTAAGAAACGCGTGTATTAATCGTATACTTATAATTATCACCACGACACGCGATTAACGTTAGAGTGCCACAGGTCGCACTTCTATCGTTTCAGTTTAGAAATTCAATTTAGAATTACGGTTCTCTATTTTTACATGAAAATAATGTAAATAGCGTTCCGTTTTTCCATTTCTAAGCAAGCAATAAAAAAAAATAAACATAAATAATTAAAAGGAAGACAAATAAATCAAATTAATTTGATACTACAAACCGATAGAGTAGCACTTTCAGACAGTGTAACGGAGATCGCGCCGCTTGGCACTCAAACGGTTAAGAAGATCGAGAAACGCATATATACGTGCATAGCATTCAAATGGTTAAATAAACGAATTGCTTGAGTAAATGTATTTTTAATTCATTCATTTTGTTCTGCGACAGCTCACGTCGACAACGAGGTGTACCTTGGAAGGGCGTTGGAAAGGCTCGGGGATGCAGCGCTGAAAGAACAGGAACCGGATATCGGCGCTGCTTTCTTAAAGTTTGCGGTCGTCACGAAAGAATTGAGTGCTTTAATGAAGACGCTGGTGCGTATAGACGGCATATTCTTTGTTCTCGACGTCCCGTTCTTCACGCAACAATACATTATTCATTGGGAACGAACTCCTTAAGACAATAATTCAATCTGTTAACTGAGATGGGCTTGTTATCTCGCTATTTGCATTACACGGTACTACCCGATAGCTTTCTTATTTATTTACTCCCGTCATTCGTACAGTTCTCTGATTTATTTGCCTTGAATTCTGATCGTTCACCGGGATTCATTTGTTCGCACAGTTCTGCGCTTAACACATTGTATGCGGAAAGCGTAAAAGTACTATTTCCATGTACCGTCGAGTAGTATTAAATGAATACTTGTATAACTTCATTAACATTCTTGATAAAAGTAGATAGTTGATTCCGTTTGCGTATGATTGAAAGTATTTCCATCTGTAATGGAAACTCTCGAAAACATGTTGAATAATAAATGAATTGAATGTAACTGATGTAAGTTGAAACGAACAAAATGGGCCGCACGCAATTAACACTAGGTTTATGGATATTTATTGTAGTCTATTCAATTGTTCCTAGATAAATTAATATTTGTTCATTTTGATTTTTGAAATCGGATGTTTAAAGATAGACAATTGAAATACACACTTGTGCTATTGCATCGATCAAAGTCGACGTAAACATTTATTAAATAATGTTTATAAAATTCGATGTGCGTCAAATTGACGCGTTCTATGCAACCTGGTGTTAAGTTTACAGTACTGCAGGTCTGTACGTTGAAAATAGCTATCATTCACCTTTATTCGGATCCATATCCGTTAAGTACCTTTAGAAATAAAAATAAATTTATAACTTTAACGTAACTGGAATATCGTCAATTTTCAATTGAACCTAGGCACACAATTCAAATCTAATTTAAAGACAGCTTTTAAAATATTAATTTAAAATTATTTATTCTCCTCAACGAACATCTCGACTGTTCCTTCAATTTTATAATCGGCAATTATTATTAATCAGGTATAGGAAAATTTCAAAGTTCAGTTGGGGAAGATTATTAAACTCAGAAGAGAATTTTAAATAACAATTTTTAAACGTGTCCTTAGAGGCCTTCAGTGAAAATAGTGTGAAAAAGCCATTAACACCCCATCGTTTGCTCTTATGTTACATTACTCTCACCTTTATCTTTATTTTTATGTGTCTATTACAATTCTCGAGTAAATGGAAGAAACAGACACACTGAGAAATGGTAAACGTATGTCACACAACGCGAACAACGTACAGTTCCATGAAATTAAAGGAACCCAATGGAAGGTCCTCTATACGAAACGAAGGATTTCAATGAATCTCATTTCGATGAATCCTGTCGACGCTTCTCTATCATTCCGTTTTCCGCACTCCTGTTCGCGACGGACGCATAAATATCCGCTGGTCTGTCCATAATGAAAGCGATCAGCGGATTATGTAAGTTCCTTCTTAATGGTGTTCATAACAACGCATAAATAAACCCGGGATTAGTTTCCACGCGAAACGCGCGGGTCTCAGTTGAATGCTAATGAAGCGTTAAGCGATCGTCGCACGAAAAAGAGGGAAAAACTGAACCCGCATTAAAATAACAAAACTGTTTTTTTCCCCAGGAAGTCTAACCGCGGATTTCCCTTCTCGAAATAAGCAATCGGACCTTCGCGTATTACGCAAGCCAGGTCATTCTTGCATCCTGTCCGCTAATTAATATTAAACAGTTCATTCTTTTTCTCCGTCCCTGAACAGTTAGATTTATAAATAGAAATAAATGAATAATTCCAACGCGACTGCGGTATCGTCAATTTTTAATTGAACTAATTTCTAGTTTAATTCAATTAAAACTTAAGGACTATTTTCACCGAAGGTATCCAAAAGACGGCTTTTAAAATTTCAGCTTAAAAGTATTTCTTACATTGAATCATTTCTGCTGAATTGACTTTTCAACCTTTCCTACGTTTAATTTTATAATCATGGATTATCATTAATTGGATTCTGATTGTCGTCAATCGACTTTTCGAACGTTCTTATTAATTTCCTAGTGGATTTTATAACCAGTAATTATTGTTAATTGCTCTTCGAATTTTCCTATTACTTTCCCAATTGGTTTTATAATCACCAGTTACTATTAATTGACTTTTCGAATTTTCCTATTAATCTCCAAATGAATTTTATAATCATTACTTGTTGTTGATTAATTATAGAAGTCGAAAAGTCAATTGAATATTGGATCTTGTATTAACGTGTATTCTTGAACGCGTGCCCGCGCTCGCGTATCTTTATTTGCCGACAGATGCAGAATATTAATAACATCGTGATGTTCCCCCTGGACTCGGTGCTGAAGGGGGACCTGAGAGGTGTGAAAGGTGACTTGAAGAGACCGTTCGAGAAGGCATGGAAGGACTACGAGGCGAAATACGCGAAAATCGAGAAGGAGAAGAAACAGCACGCGAAAGAGGCTGGCCTCATTCGGACGGAAGTGACGCCGGCCGAGATCGCCGACGAGATGGAGAAGGAGAGACGATTGTTTCAATTGCAAATGTGCGAGGTGAGGCCCCTAAATCGTGTCCCCGGAACGAATCACTGTAATTCGCAGCTGACGACTCTCTCATCCGTTCTATCTTACTTATCTTCCCTACCCTTTTCTCTTCTTTGTTGCAGTATCTCATCAAGGTGAACGAAATCAAAACGAAGAAGGGGATCGAACTACTTCAGCATCTAGTCGAATATTACCACGCGCAAACCAAGTAAGAAGGAACGGGGAACGAGTCTTGCAACGTTTTGGCGAACTTGTTGACACCCTTGTATTATAATTTGTATTGTAATCACATTTGTACGTGCCATTGAAAAATATTCTAGGAGATAAGTGTATTTGAAGATGTTATACTCATACATGACGGTGCTTGGGTCTACCTTGACACAGATTTTTAAAGACTCCATTTCATTTGTTGTTTGTGTTTAACTTAAGTTCTCGATTAATCGTGTCAGGTATAACAAAATGGACACAACGTGGATAAATAAGGGGGTTGTAAGAGTTAGAACAAATGTATCTTTACTAAAAATAGAGATAACCCGACGTGATATGACGTGATTACTTAGTATGTAAAGTAGTATTACTTAAGAACCTCGACATCTATCTTTGAGTCTCTTAGGAATTACGCTTGATAAAGAACGTCGATCATTAGAGCTCTATACGCCAAGGGTTAAGCAAATATGCTTAGGAATATTAATAGTAGTAATGAATGTAACAAAATTTTAGTTCTATATTCAATTGAACACTGCACGTCACATTTTTCAATACTGTCACAATATAAATAGGCTGTTTTGTAGTAGTTACTCAAGTTGGATTTCTATCTTCCAGTTATTTTCAAGATGGCCTAAAGACTATCGAACACTTCGGTTCCTACGTGGCGGACCTGAGCGTGAAGTTACAAAAGATCAGACAGACGCAGGACGAAGAGAGAAGGCGGTTAACGGAATTGAGGAATCTCCTGAGGAGCTCCGGTTGCGACAAAGAAGTAAGATTGGAATGATAAGGTTTAGGCTGGTCATTGATTTTCCCTGTAAACACTCGAGACGATACGATTTTCAGTTGAACGTGAACGCGAATGCAGGATATTCGCTTCATCAGCTGCAAGGGGACAAGCAACACGGTGTCACGCGGTCCGGACACCTTTTGAAGAAGAGCGAGGGAAAAATGAGGAGGGTGTGGCAGAAGAGGAGGTGCGCCGTGCAAGCGGAGGGTTACCTCGATATTTGCCACGCGGACGAAAATAAACCACCCACGCGGGTGAATTTATTAACCTGCCAAATCAAGCTAGTGCCGGATGACAAACGGGGATTCGATCTCATTAGCTGTGAGTTCCAGCCAATGCATGTTTAGGTAGTAATAGTAAATGCAGAAATCAATTATGGGGTGTATCAACTTCTAAATGTAATGATGTTTGGAAAAACGTGTAATATTTGTTATTATTAATTCTCATATGAGGGATGGCAATTTGACCTTTAACATAATTTTTACTGAAAGTGTCAAAGGACACCTTCTGAAATTTTTACTTAAAATTATTTTCCCAGTTAAAGCATTTGTCCTCAATTGAATTTCGGACATTTCCAATAATTAATTTTATAATCGTTACTGAAAAAGTCGAATAGTCAATTCAGAATATACGACTAAACTCGGAAAATAACTTTAATTTAAAAATTCCAAAGGTGTCTTTCGACACCTTCGGTAGAAATAGAGCTAATAGAATTCATATTCTACACAGGTCTTAAAGAGAAATGTACATCAGTTTTGTGCATTCGTCGTGCGAGGATAGAAACTACTTCAAGAAGATCTTGAAGCAGAGAATATAAAAGTTTAACCCGTTCAAAAACTGTTTAGTATTCCACTCCGGAATTTGCATTATTTAATGCAACTATTTTAATATGACACTTTGTTAACTCATTTCAGAGGATTTCAATAACACTAAAGTTATATTGTAATATCATTATGGTGTTACAGATAATTATATTAAACATTGGTAAAATATGTAGCTATCAGATTTAAATTAAATGTCGAGTCTACCTTGGCATAAGACAAGGATTAATGTGCATTCTATTTAGATAATTTCTAACCCTGTTTCAGATAACAGAACGTATCATTTTCAAGCAGAGGACGAGGCAGATCAACGAGCATGGATGTCTGTCCTGGTCAACTGCAAGGAGCGTGCTTTACTTCGAGCATTCGATGCCAGTGGCAAAGCTGAGGCTGGTACTGGCAATCCAAGTTTAGTCGAACTACAACAAGCTGTAATCCGATGCGTTATGAGGTTACCAGGGAATGACCAGTGCTGTGATTGCTCTTCGCAAAATGGTAAATCTGATGAAGACTTATACGAGGGTATAAGAATATTGATTTTTTTCTTTAATTTGCACACTAATATTCTATAATTGAAATAGTGACGCGTAATGCTGTAAAATATAAGTTTCCTACAGACATGTATGAAAATAATTATTTTGACATTTTATAGACGCAACATGGCTGTCCACGAATTTCGGAATAATCGTGTGTATAGAATGCAGTGGCATTCATCGGGACCTAGGAGTGCACATATCCAGAATACAATCCCTAACATTGGATAACGTGGGTACAGCTCAACTGCTTCTTGCACGGCATATGACTAACCAGGCATTCAATGAAGTCATGGAAGCTACGTTACATCATAATCATAAGCCGACTCCAACATCGACAATGTGAGCAGTACCATGTAGTTTTAAGGAATTCAATTTATTGGATAACATGTTTGTGACTTGTATGGCACATATTTTTCAAGTTAATACTAATAAAGAACAAATCAATATCTGACATTGCCTTCTTATGTAATGTAATATGATTAACTTCTTTTTAAACAGGGAGGAAAGATATGATTTTATAAGAGCCAAATATGTAGACAAAAGATACGTGATGAATACCTGCGCAGATGAAAGAGATCTTCTCTCTGACCTAGAGCATGCTGTTAACAATCGTGACCTGCAACAACTTCTGCAAGTCTATGCTGAGAATGTAGATCTAGCAGCGCCATTGCCTACTTCGGTACAATTTTATTTTAATCAATATCAAACTTCAGAAGTTGCATCTTCAATTTGTAAACGTATTGTTTAATTAGAAAAGATTTATTATTGATTAAAATAAGATGTATTATTTCATTACAGGATGTAGGCGAAACTGCTCTGCATTTAGCCATTTTACGTGAAATGGGAAATAGTTTACACATTGTTGATTTCCTAGTGCAAAATATGTCGACAGGTGGTATAGACAGAACCACCGTAGATGGAGAAACAGCGTTACATTTGTGCGCGAGACACGACAGAGCGGAAGCAATGAAGCTATTGCTACGCGCAGGTGCTGACCCAACGCATCGAAACAAACAAGAGAAAACACCATTGGATATAGCACAGGAAATGGGCCATCATACTTGCAAAGAACTGGTAAAACATTGATACTTTATTTAATATTAAAATACAAGGAATAAATTGTAATTGAAAATTCTTTCCAGTTGAGTCACGCTCTACAGAGACAGAAAACATTATTCGACAACGTTAATATTGACTGGAATCTCTCGCACGATGAAGGTTCTACTGACTTCTCTGATGATGAGACGATAATAGAAGATAGGGTACGAGTATATGAAACTGACAATGAATCTTTTACAATTATTTTCTTTTTAAATTATCATTCATCTTTCGTAGAATGGATGTTTAACACCCGAGAAGAAATCTCGTAGTAGACCGCCATCTTATGTAGGTGGTGGCGGCAGTGGTGGAGGTACCGGGTCAGGAGATTCACCAGTGACACTCCGTAGTCGAAGTAGCACTTGTGATAGCTTGCAAAGCGGTTCTTCGCCAAGTGCCTCGACGAATAGACAACAAATGCCTCCACCACCACCACCGCAAGCAAGGAAACCTGTTGCTGGTATGATCTGTTTCTTATCGAATTAACTTCTTATATTATTTTCATTCTTTTCTTTAACAATTAATTGAAAACTAGTCATCTACATGGCTACAGCAAAATTTGAATGAAATTTATTAATTACTGCATATGTCTATGGAACAATTCATAATTTAAAATTTTTTATTTCCTTTATTCTTAAGCTCAATTTTCAAGGATTCTTTTTAAGTTACAAGGACGGACTGATGAGTAAAATAATTAAGTTGTGTCGGAATCAATGTTACTCTATTCCAGATTTAATCTTAGAAGTTACACATTTTAATTGTTTCAATTTTTATTTTAGTACCCGCACCTATGGCACCGGATATTTCAGTCAATATTCATGGGTCTCTGAAGAAACGTGTTGCCCCGCCACCACCACCACCGGCTGGAAGTACAGGTGGTATACCCTCCCCTCATTATGGTACACTACCTTCGTCCGCGTCCTTAGCAGCGTCAACGCATAGCCGTACAACGAGTGAACCGATCTTAGCTGGGCATTCTTTACATACTCTACCACATGCGTTAAATACATTAAACAGTCAACACCATAAAAGATCGCCCAGTGGAGATTCTTCAACGGGACATGGTGCGTTTGAAAATTTATGCAAGCTTATCTACAAGCGATCATCTGGCTCGGGTAACCTTAGAACCTTTCGACCCAATTTCATTTCCGACGTTTATTGTATTTCATCTGTTATTAGGTACGGACAAAGTAAACAGTTCAACCCTTCAACGGCCGAGAAATCCCCCTCCGCCAGCGCCCTCTGGCATCAATTCATCAAGATTGAGTAACGGCCGCAGTAGCGAGTCATTGAGTTCCATGTGTTCGGACCATGGTTTGGGTAATCCCATCCCCCCTCCACGTAAGGTAAGCCGTGAGTCCTTTATGTAAGTTATTAATTTATTTCAGATATTTATATACAAAAAAAAACAGAACTTTTCGAAAAGGAATAAGAAATATTAAAAAAGGAAATCGAGGAATACTCCTATATTTTTTTTTTAAATATTATTTTTGAATATGTAATGCAATCCTACTAAGATATTATTTCACGCTAAAGCGAATGATGTTTTATTTGTATTTTATTTGGCGCAATCATCAATGCCGGTAGATTTCTAACATCTCCTTTAACACTGTATGTGTATGTATATACATTCATTCAAATCATTATTGTTCACTTAACATCTTTACTAATTACAGAGAATTTAACTAACACAATGTTACTCCTATCACGTTCCCTATGCAGTAGTTAATAATAGCTTCCGTTCAATTCTTTTTTATAGACAGTGGTACTTCGCACCTCATATTAATTCACATACGTATATTACCCGTGATATTTAATAGTATTCGCTCATATTAATCACGAATATCATATATCCACCACATTTTGGCATTTTCAGTACCCACAATAATATAATATAATATTCATTTAGTCTTTCATATTGCATAATTCATTAATTTATATCATCTCAAAAGACACCTGGAGCAAATTTTTATATTACCATTAACATTTTTTCCAAAATTGAATAACGCCATATAGAATCACATTTCTAATATAACAATAACGTTATTCGGAGAATGAACGATAAATGAGAATAAAAATGAAAAATATGTATAAGTGAAACAAGAACACTACTTTGACTATAAATATTTGAGAACCGTTGTGACTTTTTAAACATTCAAATCGGTACTTAGAGGATGCATGTAATTCAAAAACCGTGCTTTATGGTTTGTTATTAACCATTGTTGGTACAGCGAAGGGACCGGTCCAGACTAGAGAGCTACGCCGAGGAGCCTTCATCTTTGCTCCCAAATCTGAATCTGGTAAACATCAGCCATCCCACATTACAGCTTGCTACACTTGAAATGTGTTTTAACATTAATATAAAACATTTGGACAACATAATAACAGGAAGAAACCTTTAATACTTAAAAGTTTCCAAAACATACACAAAATTTAATAAAATCATAAAATAAAAAATTTGTTACTATCTTTTCTGCTTTTGTGTTGCATAATTAAAAATTTCTTTTTTTATTTAAAAAAACGGATAATTTTTAATTATACTCATCTTGATTAATTTAACTTTCTCGTGTGTATTCGTTGAAGTTGAATTTTAAATCTTTTATTTGGCAATTATTTTAATAAAATTACTGTGTCCAGGCAGTGATTATTAATTGGAAAGATAAAATATTTTTTTATCCTTTCAAGTGTGGTAATGCTTTGCATGATCAGTCGTGCTGTCCGTAACAATCGTTTTTCATTGTCAATGCTTTGGGCATAAGTTTTGTAAAAATAACATTTAACTTTAATTCATCAAATTTGTTGTTCGTATTATGTTCTTAAACAATTGTTTTATTCAGTTTTGATCAAAGTTACATTTCTTCCTGGATTTCTACTATGTGATCTTTAATAAACACACAATGTGTAAAAATAGAGAATATACATAATAATTCAATACTGAATGACCAATAGTCAAGCTTCATGTGTATAAATCCTACTTGAGGATGCAATGTTTATATTAAACAGAATATATTGTACTAGGATGCAAGCTTCAAAACATAATTCTCGCATGAGCCTCCCAAATTTGTGTTTAATAATAGCACTTGATCGCATTAAGTCCCTATATAATTACTCTAATGTAATTACCCCCTATAGACTCACAAAGTGGATGAAACACATTTGGCAAGGTTAAAATATTGTACACCATTTCACAAGTTATTTGATTGTAATCATCAAAATGATTTACTTATTATAATATACATTTTAAGTGTACATTTTAACCAAAGGATATACTGGCAAAGGAGTTTCAACAGAACGTTTAATTTACTTTAGTTGTTAATATTATGAATTATTCGGATAATTATGCTGTTTAAATTATTTAAATTATTTTAAACAGCGTACAAAACGAAATACCTATGTTCAAGTTAACACACTCAGCACATTTACCTTCCACTTTGTAAATGAATATTGTATTAATAGCTTAAATTTAAGGACTTAGACTAAGAAATACTTATAACAGGCATGAAATTGATGCATATTATTGGAAATTCTAGTTCATAAAATATGAAATAATGAACAAATAGAGGTATTGAATTTAATGACATAGTACACAATTGTTTTAGCAAGTTCAATGTGACAGTGTATATAGTTAGAAATGTGTTAGTAATAATTAGAAAATGTGTATTGTCTACGTGGAAAACAGTCTAGTGACTATTGCCAATTGAACATTTTTAATGACTTAGAAACAAATTTTATAAGGTAAAAATATCATATATGTATAAAATATTATAAGATGATTTAACAGGCATACTGTAATAAAAAAATATTACTTTATCATATTCATAATATCACTTATTAGCAATAGTTAGTAGACCCTAATACTCAATAGATAATATTGAGATAGTTGTATTATATATCATTTTTAGAAAACAATACTGTATACGTCATTTTTGTCTAATTTATTTAGAAAAATACATCACAACACATTGCATATGGATTATAAAATGTCAAGATTTCATCAGTATAATTTCCTAGTCAATTTAAAAAGCAATTAAAATTAGAGTAAAACTGCTTTCATTATCCAATATTATTATTTATTTCCAATATTTTATTTATACTTTATTTTTTTCTTAATAGTCATTTGTTACAAATATATCTCTTGTATATTTATTAAACTAAACAAATGAAACATTATGAGCTAATTATACCAACAGGTTATCATAGGCAATGTGTTAATATCTTAACACAGTCTCATATATTGTAAAAACAGTTTCTTTTATGCATGGTACAAATAATGGTAAAAAGAAAGGATATAAAACAATATTTACTTAACTGTGCACGAACCGCATATACTCTTGGAAAGAAACTGTCTTCCTTTTATCTTTTCTATCTAGAATTTCCAATTTAGCTATCTTTGTGACCTAAAGAAACATTCTTTGTTTCTATCAACTCTCAATGCTCTTATAAGTAAGCCCTTTGACGATCAGTTCTCTATCTCAAATGGATCCTAAATTTCTCATTCATTGCCTATATATTTTACAATATTAACAAGATGTAATACAAGAAACTATTTTTACTTAAAGCTTTCATCATTTGCATAGTTATGAGTAAAGCTGTGCATCATAAAAAAAACTCTTGATAGTCAAAATGACAGTAATTTAAATCATCAATATCAAATTTTAAATTAGCCAAATTTTTGAGTAATTGAATATACCAATTATGAAGTTATGCAAAATGGGATAAAATATTTTATAAAAATAACATTGGTTATTCTATAGAAATTGCTACTTAAAGATACAGGAATAAAATTTGGTACTTTTAAATGTAAGTTATTTGCTTCTGTCTGTGTGACAAAGTTTTCGTTACGTGTCTTGTTCGTCAAGGGGTTAAAGAGTGCTTGCTTCGACCGTGGAAAACTAAACCGAGCATTTGTACCGTTACTCATTAATTCTAATCTTGCATTCGTTGATTTCCTTTTAGCCAACTTCGTCGACTCTGAGCGGACTACGACGTTGTCGAGCTTTGTACGACTGTGAGGCCGACAACGAGGACGAGCTGTCCTTCCGGGAAGGCGAAGTCATCATAGTCACCAACGAGCAAACCGACGATGATAATTGGATGGAGGGCGCGTTAGAGCGAGCCCCGGAAAGAAGGGGAATGTTCCCAATCAGTTTCGTACATATGTTTCAAGATTAACATTCGGTAAGCCTGAACTCATTGGCAAGTGTCTCCAGTACTGCCAGCACCGTGAGTGTCGCTAGCCTCGGCAGAAAAAGTTGGATGCGAAAACCGAAGGATTGAGCATATTGCTCACTTCCCGCGCATGGAAATCGCGTCCCCTAACACCTCCTTCTCCAAAATCGTACTCCCATAGGAAACCCGTAGGCCTCGAACTTTTATATACACATCTATCTTTCGTCTTGGACATTTCTGAAACTCGGCTCTATCGAAAAGACTTGATTCAATTGGATTGCTGCCTTCCTATTTCACTTGAAGTGCTATTGTCCATGAATCGCTATGTGCCCTTGTGCAACAGTGTCTTGGATAGGATGACAATCAACTTGACACCTTCATTAGGAAACGCACGATTTGGTTCTTCTGGCTTTGTATTCTGTCATCCGAGTACACTGAACAGCAGTACTGCTCGCAGGTTTTAACACTAGAACTACCGATCACTTAAACCGACTTTTATAAATTTCTTTATAAAAACCATAAGTATGCGTTTACTAAGATTTCAATTGAGTTGTATTTCAGTTTTGCTATTACTGAATTAGTTTCGTTAATAATTTTTTGTGGAAGTATCTGTATCTTTTCAGTCATTGTAAAAAAAGAAATCAGAAATAAGTCATTTTGACCCATCTGGTAGTTCTAGTGTTAAAGCGTGATCTGCTTCACATTGTAAAGAAAGATTATTCAAATTATATGTCAGGAAGGTAAATTAAGGGTATGCTATTTCATCCTTCAGAGGAAATATCCAAATTTAACAACATTACATATTGTAATATTTTGGTTCATCCGGGCCATTGAGAGGTGAATTCCATTACATCAGCTTTACTTGATTGAAGGTTAGGTTATAATTCTCAATGTCACCGTCCTTATTTAAAGATGGCGCAACAGAAATATGGATCTTCTACGGTAACAACGCTTAAGGCGTATGTTACAAGCTCTTATAAAATATTGATTTACCCTATCTTTCGCTCGCGATAATTGTTTATCATTAAATTAACGGCGGCTTTTGCTCATGTACCTAAAGGCCAGAGGATGTTACAAATTTACTAAATCAGACGTAAGGTGATAGGACTAAGAAATATGGTAAGAAACCTCTTGAATGGCTTCGAGTTAACGGTTCAGTTTCATGGATCAACTTAAATACGAACAAGTTTTTGATGAGTTTAATCCCGTCTGAAGACGTCATGGTAACACGTTTAAAGTCACAAGAGCAGGAGAAGTGTGTCGAGCGAATGGTTCGGCTGAAACTTTCGTAATTGAAAGACTGGAAAGGGGACTATTCGCGGTTTCAAGACCGATGTTGAAAAAAATGTGATATAAGATATATTTCAGTATAAATCATTAGTATTACGAATCGGGTTAATGAACAAATTCCACGTAAAGTGGCACTGTTGTACGTGCATTGATGGTCGGGCAAGCGATGCATGATCGAATCAGTCCATTCGCCGTGAATCACAGTAATTCGTTTGTAACGACAAAATAACAGCGGATACTGGTTTATCTAGCTGCAGGTGTCGATTCTACTAGGTAGAAGAGATGCTCGTCGTTCGGGATAAAGATTACAGTCGGCAAATGTGCACAATTCAGAAACATCAAAAAAAGGAAGCGCGGGTGCGTGCGTGAGTGTGTAAAATAGAATGAAAGAGAAGGAGAGAAAAAGTCCAGCCTCTACTATGTCGCAAGTCTTAAAGTATCTGGCGCACACTTCTTTTTCATACTGCCAATTGTGAGTATACACCATACTCTATACGGTCGCGTTCTAAGAAAACGAAAATAATCGAAAATTCATAGGGGATTCTCGTCGTAACGGCACGTAAATGACATTTACACCGTAAATCTAGGTTGTTTAAAAACAGGTCCTTAATCTCGGCAAAGGACAGAATGTGACATTAATATTGCATGACACCGATAGTATTATTAGTATACTCGATGAATAAGGATC